ACAATCGATTGGAAAGTAGGTTGGAAATAAGTGGCATATTCACCACCCTCATGCGCTTCCACACTGACCCACGAGGCGTACCTTGACAACGTCCAACAGGTAATTTGCCTTACCCTCGGTTGCTCATCCTGCAATCTATCAACAAGAAAGGGTACCAATTCAGGCAATTTGTCACTGGCCAAGTTGATGAAACTATTACTCATGGCTCCAAACGCTAATATTGCTGCCTCCCGTATTGGCCAGTGAGTGGACACAATCTTTTCTTGCAATATCGGCAAAGCCAAAATAAGAACCTCTTGGGGCAAGTTTTCACTCAACACGTCCAAAGTTGCAGCCGAGCATTTTCTCAAACTCCATTCACCCATATCGTCGTCGTCGTCGTCGTCACCATCTTCTTCTTCATCTTCATCATTATCGTCGTCGTCGTCGTCGTCGTCACCACCACCGTCAAAATTGCCATTTGCTTCCGTCTCGTTGCCTTCATTTGCCCCTCCATTGGCAGTATTTGATGATTCTCCATTTACATTCCCATTAATACGTCTGGCTTCCTTAGATTTGACATTGGTGGGCTTTATATCTTCGTCCTTGTCAGCTACATTGGCGTCGTCATTACTATCTGCCACTTCCATCAAAAACATTTCCTCCTCGGAGTAGACCATCTTGTCCAACAACACAGGCAAGATGAGCTTCAACTTGTCTGCTGTAAACACACCTTTGAAATCACTAGATCCTGCCAATGCCAATAAAAACTCGCCTGCTTCCAAACTCAATTCATTGTTGGTGCCCTTTTGAATCACGTGTAAACAATAGTTCATGATGCCATCAATGTGAGGTGCTATTTTATCCGGTCTAGTTTCCAAGATCGCAAGGAAAGCAGTACATATGTTCTTCTTCAAGGTGGATGCATCGGGGGTTTCAATATTATCAGTGTCTTGAGCAAGCTGAAAAATTTTGGTCAAAAATTGATCAATCAAAACAAGAAATGATTGTGTATCCAAAATGATGAATTGGTTGAAACAATGGACAGCTAGTGCCTTGACTTTTATGCTAGGCAGATCCATCAACTTCAAAAACTCTGGGAGAAGAAAATTCAAGGGCCGCTCCCCATTGTATTCTTGATCTAGTTGTATATACGAGTCCTCGCAAATCTTGGCTAACGCACTCATGGCAGCTTCTTGAGTCGAATACGCATGCAAATTTGCTTTGCTTGTAGCAGCATCAGCATCACCATCACCATCGTGTTTCCCATTATGAGCTAAAGCCAACAAACTTGTCAAAGCAGTGCCCCACAGTGAAATTCCATATATGGAGAATAGCGAGGTGATGACATTTCCAGTAATGTTTCTAACCATTGCATCGGGACTAGTCAAACCTTGTATGATGTTGTTCATGATATAGCTTCTATCAATCAGATGGTTCGACTTGTTCTTCAATATGATGTTTTTCAAATTGATACCAGCAGCAGCTCGGACGTCGGGCCTGGCCGAGTTATCAAATACCAAGATTGTAAATAAGTAGTTTTCAATTTCAAGGTTACGCTTAGCTTGAACCAAAGCTTCATTAGCTAGTTTTCTCTCCTCATTGTTTGATGATAATGTCCCTTGGAAGATGTGCTTGAGTTGTTCAACTGCATTGGGATCTGCTGTCCACGACGACATAATGTTTCGCAGATTACTGTAGTTTGCACGTCAATGTGATATATGTAAGATAATGTGGCGTTTTTTTACAACTGCAATATTCTGTCATGCAGAAGGGGAGTGGTCTCTTTTCAAGAAATGTAGAGTTGACACCGAAAAAGAGTACCTGCTAATGCCGTAAGTTATGTGTGGTGATTTGGTTGCAGATTTTTTTCTTCTCCTTCTCTCTCGTCCTTTTGCTTTTTCTGAGCTCATTGAAGATTTGCGACAATGAGAAGAGATCTGCACACATAAACCCACTTACGGTAAAAGCCGCATGAAACAGCTTAAAATATTCTCATACATCCTTGAATGTTTGAACTGTTTCATACTACACAAAATGAGTCACACAGAGAGATCTATTAGCTCTAACTACGCCCATGTTCCTAGTTGGTGTGCATAAAATTGTTGCATTCTAAGAAGGGTCACACATGATACGAGATCAACCCATATAATATAACCTCGCAGTTTTCTTTGAACTAAACCAGTAGCTAGTAAAGCAAGCTAGGAGTTGTTTAAAGTGCAAAAAGCATAAAGTGAATTTTGTCGAATCCAAGGTAAAGAGTGTCTTCCAAATACTCAATTCTCAATCAATTCATCTATTCTCATTCTCTTTGTTGCTGAGGTGATTCCATCCGGCTCTTCACTTGAGCACCTGGTACTTACCAGGTCAAACCCACTTTCATCCTTCATGTGCACATCATGTTTGGTCTTCTCTTGTACTTCCTCCTCAGTTGATGCAGCTTTGGGGTCCTCCGGAATCTCGCCATTAACCCATGACTCAACATGAGCCAACTGGTCACTGAAAACATTGGTAAGCTTTGTAATCATTTCCAAACTTTCCTTTGCAAACACAAATATGCGATCATTGCCTCCTTCACTAGTTTCGCAATTTTGTATTGACGCAGGTAAGCGTAAGATGATATCGCGGATGGTGTTTTTCAACTCAAATTCTTGTAAACAAGACCCATGTGATGTTGTTGGCGTTAATGTGCTGGTTGGTGTATTTGCATTGTCAGTTGAGCCGCTAGGTACGGGAGTTCCATTGTATGAGCTAGTGCGAGATAAAGTATTTGGATGATATGAAGCTGGTGTAGTAGGAGTTGCTGGAGTTCCTGATGCTAAAGCTGTCTCTGTTGCAGCATTAGCTTGAGTGGTTGGCGCAGTTGTTGTAGTTAAAGTGCTTGGACGAAAGTTCAGTATGAGATGAATGATTTTCTTGACAGTGCCAACAATTTCACCTTTGGTTTTTTCAGTAGTTTGATCAGACAACAAACTGTCATTAGACCTTTGTGTTTGTAGCTGATGTCTCTTTTCTTTTATTGCCAATTCAGTTTCGTCAAGTTTCAATTGAAGGAAGTTGATTTTGGAATTGATTGTTGCATTAGCTGCCTTTAAAATGTGGATACAAAACTGTAATCTCTTCTTTGCATCGGAACTAGGCACGATCCCGGATAATGCGGTAGTAGCGGTAGTTGCAGTCGACCTTGTCGACATTGTAGACGACGTTGACAACCTTCTTTTCTTCTGTTTATTGTCAAAGGAAGACATGGTATGGTGGTTCAATGTCGGTGGCGGTGTATTACCAGGTGACATTGAAGACGAAGATGAAGATGAAGATGCATGCCTGCTTGTTTGATGCCTGGTGTTTAAGTTGTCTTCTATTCTAGTGACCACTGGTATTGCTGCAGCTTCAACAATTCCTGCAGCATAGTTGAATGAAGAGTATCTGCGCTTGGAAGTTTCATAGTATTTTACTGCATTCATAACAATTGGATGTTTGGCAACCATTGACACTGTTGAGACAAGAGGGTGTCTTTGCTGCCTTTGCGACTCATTGGTATCCAAGTCATCTTCTTGGTCTGTGGTTACCATAGTGTCAGCATCTGATGGGGGAGTGGCACTTCCAGTCAACTGGGTTAGTGCATGAGCAGCAGACAAATCCCTCAGCTCTGGTGGTATATCTGGTAATGGTAACAGCTGTTGGTGTTGCTGTTGTTGGTGTTGTAAATTTTCAGAATTTAGCATGTGGTGAATAGAGAATGGCGACGAACCAGTGCGTTGAGTTGGAGAGACCGAGTCGCTACCACTGTGAGTTGTAGGTTCCTTTGAGTAAGGAGGAGGTGGTGGTAGTTCTGTCATATTGGTATCTGTGTCAGATGATGAGTCAGTGTGGGTAGTAGGTGGTGTGTTGGTACTGCCAGGAGCCATGGTTTTATGTATAGTAATCAGCGTGTAGTTTTATGTGCAATACGTTAGTTGTGTAATCCTCAGCCACTAGAACAAAATGTGGAAGCGTTAGTGAAGTAATAGCAAAGATAGTTTGCTGTTGGTTGCTTGGAGTGAGTTGAAAGTTTGAAGTTGAGAAAAGTAGTTGAAGTTGTTGTTATAAGTAATCTCACAAGATATGAATCCCAGTAGTCAGTTGGCAAAAGAAAGCAAAAGAAAGAATAACAAAACCAAAAAAAAAAAAAAAAAAAAAAACAAAGGAACTAAGGTGTTTAAAATGGGGGTGAGGG